AACTTAGTTCAGATTAAGCAAACTAGGGATAGCTGTTAATTATTATACTGGGACCATCATTACTTGCAATTATGTCAATTTAAGATTAGAATTATTCATTAATTTCTCCATACATATAATGTCTTCCACAAAGACCTTACTTAGTTTATAAAACAAAGTAGGTGCTCACAGCTATTTTTTTAGTTGAAAGGAAAAGAGAAAGCACAGGGATAGTTTAATATTATATAGATCTTAATACTATTTGATGACACTCTTAAAATAAAGCAAAATAATCTGAACAACCAGGGAATGGTCTTTGAGACTGATAGTTTCAAAATTTACCATTTTTAGGAATGTGGACATTTATATATTTTAAATATATATAATTTCCCTATGAAATTATTTAAATTAAATACAAAACAAAAAATAAGAACTAAGTGATAATAGGAGAAATTAGCACACATGAAATTATTTCAACAAAAATAAAATTAAGAACCAAGTGATGGCTAAGTACATCAGTAATACAGAGTAAATTTCTATGAAACTTGACTTTTAATAATATGTTTGTCAACAATAAATTTAAAATACTATTTCCTCTAAAATTGTTTGAAAAATCTTAACCTGTGGAAGGCGAAAAACTTGAATAGTTGAAAGTAAAAATCTTCACTCTTCTGTAAAAGATTATGCACTTTAATATGATCTTTAGGTTGATTTATGTAAAGCTTTGTATTTTTCATTTTCTCAAGCTTGTCACTGTAGTGATATATGGTATATTTTAGCATCAAGTTTGCCATAGGCAATAAAGTTAGGGTCCCAAAGAAATTTTAGTATATTTCCCTATTTTAAAACTTGAGCTTTCCTATTTATTTTGTTTGGGATTCCATGTTTGGTTGACATCAGTTTTATACTCCCATAAATAATTCAAGATTTTACTTACATAAAATTCAAATAGATCAATTATTTAACTGAAAAGTTTAAGGGTCATCATATGTGAAATGAACACTCAGTGATAATGCAAAATTAATAATAACAATCTCACTGGAAATTTCACTTTACATTCTAGTTTCCTTGGAATATTTTACTCTAAAGAGAAGCTGTATTTAAAAAAATAAGTGACTGTTAATTGAGTATTATATATACAAATGAAATTAAGAGATATATATCTCTATCTATATATCATCTAAAGAGTCCATAAGAAGGAAAATTAATGCATTATATAACAAATAAATTTAAAAATTTTAATTATACAACAGCTGTTACAATGAAAGTGAAAATAAAAAAAATGTCAAACCTCAAGAAATTGATACTTTAGTATTAATAGGAAGATGTACCTCCAAACAACTCCAATATAAAGATGAATAAACTCAATAGTTACTTGAAAAAGAAAGCACTAGGCAATTCACCTGTATGTTGCAAAGTGGATGAATGTATTTGAGGTCCATCTTGCATCATAAGCAAGATGTGAACAATTAAAGGAAGAGAAGTAAAACAGAAGGTAGATATTTAGTGGTTCATCAGTACTTAACAAAGCATATTTATATGAATATTGGAGTCAGACTAAAGTAGGATAATAAGAAAACATGCCAGATGCCATTGCCTTTAAGCCACTGCTAAATATTTCACTCATTAAGGGCGGTTTTGTGGAGAGAGCTGAAAATAAAAAAGAAAAATCAAAACGGCAGTGGAAGCGAAAAGAGAATGAGAGCAAGGAGTGCACTTAAGGAATCTTTTCCTACACTCTTGGACAAGATATAACTGTACCTCAGAGGATAGACATGGCAACTGAATAACTCATGAGCCATTCAGAACTAGTATAAGAAGGTTAAGATATAACCAGTTGAATGCTGATGGTAATTGAGAGAGTGTGTTAAGAGATGATGATGATATCCTGCGCTTGAGTTACGGGAAAAACAACCATATTAAAATGAATTCTTAAAAAAAATGCACACCAGGCATGCAAAATGAGCTCAAGGCTTGTTCATGCTCATATTGATACACACTGGCTACCCTGTCAAAGAGCCAGGACGCACAGTGAAGGAGTAAAAAAAAAAAAAGAAAAAGTTACTGGTAGAAACACTGGAAAGAGTGATGAGTGATTTATGAATCATCTGTATAGGAGCGATACTACACAAAACTCCAGAAAAAGAATATGTTAGTAAAATGCTTCCATAAATAGAACTTGAAGCATACATACATACAAAAGGAAGGTAGGAAGCAGAGAAGCTATTGGAGAAGAGAGAAGCAGAAAAGTCAGCACAGAACAGTGATAGGTTGTTAGCTATCCAAAAGTCAAAGTCATTGCGATAGAGTCAGAGCTGACTCACAGCTGACCCTCCAGCAGGTTATCAGAGGATACAATCACACAAGAAGAGACAGCCCACCTTTCTTCCGGAGAGTGTATGTTAGTCCTTCGAGGTGGTTGAGTGGGTTTTGACTCCTGAGGCACAGGTTGGAACCTTGTCCTGTCCAGCATCATCCCCACAATAGTGCTGTGCATAACTGACTACTGCAGTCATTGTGTCACGCCGTCTTGTGGAGAATCTTCTCCTTTGATGACCTTCCACCTTTCCATACAGTGGTATATGAATATAAAACATCCACTGCTGTCACATAGATTCCAGTTCCTAGGGACTGTACAGGACAGAATATACTGTCTCATTGAGTTTTCTCATGGCTGTAATCTTAAGTGATCAGAATGTCACTTTTCTTTTTTTCTTTATCCCTTTAGTTAAGAGCTCAAATTTAGCCCACTATGCCATTAGGGTTCCTAATATAAATATTATAGGGGGAAATTTGAAGAAAGAGATGTGTGTCAGTATTATTAAAAAGCAATTTAAGGACTACAAATATACTTTACAATAGTATTCAATAACTTCACTGTAGACATCACAGTTATTTGTAGAGGTCAACAAATTCATATGTGTTTGACATAACAATGTTATTTTCTTAGTTGTTGTTGAGTGCCGTCGAATCGTAGGTGAATCACAGTGACCCTATGAAGGAAAGTCCTCGATACTTGCTTGCGTGACTTTCATCCTTTCTCGAGGATCATAGAGTTTCTGGAGGCAAGCTATTTACGGAAGTGGATGCCACTCCTGCTTCCAAGCTTGTTTTAATCGGGGAGCACCACCAAACACTGTCCACCATGGGTTACCACATTTGACACATCCGTGTCACAGTGTTCAGCTTCACAGCAACCACAAGTTACCGTTGTACGGCAAGTGGACACACCAGGGCTCTACGACCTACAAGTATGTTTGACTAAAACCAATTTAAAACAGGTCCCAGGGCCACGGATTAGAGTCACCCACCTGGGGCCTGGTAGCATCGCTTTTGGTCCATTAGGCCAGCTGGTCTCTCTCCATGTTGTTGAGTGCTGTCTAGTCATAGGCGACTCTTAGCGACCCTATGAACGAAAGTCCTCGACACTTGCCTGCGTGACTTTCATCCTCTCTCCAGGTTCATAGGGTTTCTGGAGGCAAGCTATTTATGGAAGTGGATGCCACTCTTGCTTCCCAATTCATCCAGCAAAGTACGCTCAGCGGACACCCAGTTGAGGCAGAAAACCATAAAATGCCCCGTGTTCCCCACCTGTGTCCCTTCCAGTTTCACGAGACTGCATCTACCCAGCTGACACTGAAACCCAAGAAAGACCCAGCTGCCCTTGTCTACCCTCTAGTCGTGGTCATAGATTGCAGTATTTTACCATCCGACACACCCAAACGCTGGCAAACTCTGGGCCAGAGACTCCCAATTCATCCAGCAAAAGTTCCCCACCTGTGTCTCTTCCAGGTTCACAAGTCTGCGTCTACCCAGCTGACATTGATTTTTCTTAGTTAGTGTCCCTTAATTTTTTTTTTTTTTATCAGCATCTATTCTTCTTTTGGTAACCAAATTTTTTCTTCTACAGATCCACTTTCTCTACTATCTAGCTGGGCTCAAAGGCAAAGCTTAGTGACTTGGGCCAGAGCTTTACTTTGGATTTTGTGCCTTACTTAAGGATGAACATGGTAATTAACTCAAAATGGAACAAGATTTCTAGAAAAGAAACTTTTATTATTTCCTTTTGGTTCACATCAAAACTATAGAGGATTTCTGGCTGCTGCAATCAACTTGCTACATCATAGTTTTACTACAAAATGTTCTGAGGTAATATTTAGCATATTAAGCTATAACATTGACAATAAAAGATATTACCTAAAGTCAATAGTATTACTGGAAAAATTGCATCTTGTTTTCAGTTTTAAAAAAGCCAGTCAGAGTCAGTTACATTGTTTATGACTGGTAATATTAATTTTGGATATATTAAAAATTAAAATGATACATCACTTTGGTGACATATTGCAGAATAAGCTTGATTGGTTGAATGAAACCACTGTCATGCCATACTCATTTTCAAAGGCCTCTGTGTCAGGGCAGAGATAGAAGAAGGAAAGAGAGAAGGAAGAAAAGAAACCACTGTGATGAAAGTGAGAAAAAGTTACATAAGAGAGCTTTTGGATATGACATAAAAGGGGAAAAGTCATACATTACATATATTACAATGCAAATATCACATATACCACAATGGACAAATAAAAAGGACATTTTAGCAAAACAGAGAAAGTGTAAACTCTTTACTAAGTTGGCATACTAACGCACAATTAATTCACATTTCCTCAATCAATGGTTCCATTAACTTTTTGGTATTTAATTTTATTATTATTATTAATTTTAATGAAAATGTAGACTTTTGATTTCCATTCATTCATTGTTGCACTTTTCTCCCTGCCTACCACTCTCCCTAGTTCCGTCTCTCTTTGAGAAGTAAAAGAAGGTTCTTTCATTGTTATATAATTCCTCTCCCCAAGTCCACTTGTGATGAAAGTTTGTAAGTTACATGAGAAAACAGTACTTAGAAAAATCTACTCAAAATAGTTGATAAAAACGTTGTGGAAAAAAAAATAAACAAAAACAAAAACCCGTTGTGGAATGTTTTAAAACAGGAACTGTAATGTAGTAGGTCAGCTGCTAAGTGCTTTTCAAGAATTGTGGATATAATTAGACGTTCTGTTGTTGTCAGGCTCTGGGAACACCTAAAAAAAAGAGAGAAAAGGAAAATGCAGTCATATTTATTCATTTTCGGTGAATATCTCATCTTCAAGAAGTAACATTGTTTCTGCAGTAGGGCAAATGGACTGTGAGACCAAATATCAAAACAAAGTGGTTTGATTTTTCCACTTGTGCAAACGACAGCAATAGTAGTAAAGACCTTTAAGTAAGGGACTTTTTTCAGTGACTCTGAAAGATTTTTGACCAGTAGAACTTCATCCTCTTAAAGAGCACCTGTTCTCTGAGTCAACCCATAGCTGACCCTCCAGCTGGTTTTCAGAGGTAGTAAATCCCAAAGGAGGAGACTGCCTATCCTTCTCCCACAGAGCAGCAGGTGGATTCCAATTATGTTCCTTTTGGGATTGCTGTGTAGCTTCTTAGCACTACGACACCACAGCTCCCTAGCTTAGTATAAAGAACACTAACTTTGAATAAAAGGGTCCCTAACAATCGCATTCTAGCTCAAATTAATAATTTCTTTTCAATTTTGTTTATGCCTAACATTTACTGAAATCAGTAACTAATCTCCATTTCTGGAAATTCTCCCATCCTGAGGTTTCTGACATTCTAATACTCTTCTTACTTCATTAATCCTTTTGATTATGCAGATCACCTATCACATAGCTATGGGTATGCCTTGAGATTTGATGACATAATAAAAAAAGATTAAGATGATAGACTGTAATTCTTGTATAACTATTTCCAATTCCTCTGCTAATTTCAGTTAACATTTCTTTGGTGCATAATGGAATTTTCAGGGATCAAATTTGTCTAATCTAACCTAATCTAGTCTAAAATAATCTAATCCACATCTTTACTTATTCCACAAAACAGCTTTGCATCAACATTCTGTTGTTCTTTGACAATAAATAAAACATTTTCCATCTTTCACTTCTGTTTCCCTGAATATATCCCAGGAAAATTTTATTCCTTTCTTCCTTTTATCTTACCAGATGATTGAAGATTTGTCTATATACTGTTTAAGAGCCTCACTCTCTGATTCCCATTTGCAACTGAACTTCCATACCGTGAGAGAACTGCACTATCTTTTGTACCATTTAGAGATTTAAAACTAGAAAAATCTGTAAAATTCTTATTTATTGACTTGAGATCTAAAAGAATTTGGCACTAATAATTTATTTGCCCTTTGATCACATGTTATAACAGAGCCAGTGTACATAACTCTGTCTTTCTTTTGAAATCGCTGTGGACCTTAGATTTACTTGCCTTGTCCTCCAAGTGCATTTTTAAAAAGCGCAGATATGCCACAGGTGCAAATGCATCAGCTGAATGCATGACTACTTCAGATGAATCCCTGAAATACAAGAATATTAGCAGACATTTATCTACTAAATAAACTGTGGCAAATCACTCCTGCTATTAGCTAGAAGACATTAACAATCCTCATTTTGCATTTTCCATTTACAGATAACATTATTGTTGTTAGGTGCTATCAAGTCAACTCTGACTCACAGTGACCCTATCAACAACAGATCTGAACCCTGTCGTATCCTGTACCACCTTCACGACCAAAATTTTTCTGCTCTATTTGGTGGCTTATGAGTAATAAGTTGAGCAGATAAGCAATTTTTTTTAACAAACAACAATATAAAATAATTAGTTAGTCAAATTTGTGGTTCAAATTATTAGTCAAATTTGTGGTCCAAATGGGAGGAGCATGGGCAAATTCCTGTGGGACTTACAGCCTTGGAAAGCTGAAAGGTGCGTTAGTTCTGCCTGACTCAAAGGCACACACAACATCGGTATATAATATACAATGATTAATATATATTTTTAATAGTCCAATATTTAATTTATAAAAGGCTGGGAAACACAAAACTCATGAAAAATAATGTGGCCTTTTCTTTTTATAAGGACACACTGCTCAAGTTTCAGGTTTACTCAAAGCTCTTCTAGCAATTTTGAGATTTTCAACTTCTATTCAACTTCACTTTCACAAAGTTGCTGGGTATGGAATAAATAATAGCGTTTTATTATCATTATTCTTTTCATTTTCAAGAAATAATTCACTCAGTGTTTCATACAAAATCTCAATTATCCCTCGCAAAGCAGTAATGGTGATGACTTTAAGCTTCAGATGAACTCTTAACACTGCAATATCATTGCTATTAAAATTGATCGTCTGACATAGTAATTACCACATTCAGGTAAATGGTATGAATTGCTTGCTGGCACCATATGGATGCATGTAAATTAACTCAACTTTTATCAAAGATACCCTGCAAAGCACATACAAATAACTAACAGTAGGTGTGAAGCTCTAATAACTAATTATTTTATATTGTTGTTTGTTAAAAAAGCAATAATGTTTTGTATCTCAGCTGACATTTTAAAAACAGAAGTCACTCATACTTCTCTAATGCTTCAGGAATTAGTTGCACTATTTACACTAATACTTGTTATTATTATTGACCATCAAGTTAGAACCAACTCACAGAGGGTTTTCAGAGGTAGTAAATCACACAGGAAGAGACTGCCCATCTTTCTTTTCTGGAGCAGCTAGTGGATTTGAACTGTATGCCTTTGTGTTGGCAGGGTAACTCCTTAGCACCAGGTTACCAGAGCTCCCTACACAACTATATAGTGAACATTTTAACAGTGGTAATAGGACAAAACAATTTTCCCTCCCACTAATATAAAGAGAAGGGAGCTCCGATGGCTTAATGGTAAAGAGCTGTGCTGCCAACCCAAAGGCACATGGTTCAAATCTACCAGCTGCTCTGCAGAAGGCCGATGGGCAATCTCTTCCTGTGTGAGTTACTGCCTCTGAGAACCTGCTGCAGAGTTGGATATAAGTCAGTTCTGACTCCACAACAAAAACAATGTAAAGAGAAAATCTGAACCAAGTTTTAATACATAGTTGGTGTCAAGAGGCGACCTCTAGATACTTAGATCCAAAATGTTACCTTTTCATGAGCAAAATATCTTTCTACTTAAGAGATTTAAGACAAAAATATTTTACTAAGAAAAAGAACTATGAACTTATAGTATTAAATATGCATCTTTTTAAGCTCAGGAAAATAAAATGAATAGCATATTGAATATACCACGGACTGCTAAGAAAACGAACAGGTTTTTCTCAGAGAGGTTTAAATCAGGAAGCTCCTTGAAGGTAAGGATTCTGAAGCTTCATCTGACATACTCTGGATATGTTGCAAGGAAGGACCAATCCTTGGAGAAGGACGTCATACTTGGGAGGGTGGAGGGACAGCGCAGGAGAGGAAGACCCTCTATGAGGTGGATTGATTCAGTGACTGGCGTAGTTGGGATAGGTGTGCCACTCGAAACAGTGAGATTGACACAGGATAGAGCAGGGTTTAGGGCTATTGTACTTAGGGTCGCTATAAGTCGCAGGCAACTCGATGGTACATATCAAAAACAATATGGGCTGAAGAGAAAGCAAATATAATAGAGATAGACTCATTAAAAAGAATCCTTAACAGAAAATCTGGTTCATAGATTATATTTCAATCACTCTGAGTAGCACAAAAAAAAAAAAGACTCCAAAAATACCGAGTTGGAGGAAAACAATGAGAAACTGAAGAGGCCCTCTCACCCGTCTCTCTGTCTTGATTCCCTCTTGGTTTGTTAGTTCTAGTCTTATTTCTCCATTTACTTTAGAATTACCAGCTCTATCTTTATATCTTGACTTAGTATCCAGAATCAAACCTTCATTCTTGTTTACAATGTCATTCTTAATTTAAATTTCAATCTCTGTCCCTGATACCAACATGGAAATTGGCCATAAATCTTAGTTATGACTAAACTAAGAAGCTTGGTTTTTACATCCACATCAATAGAGTACACTAAAGTGATAATTAACCCTAATCTGTACTATCTCAGTTGAAAGTTCTCCCCTCTCATGAGAGTTAGTGCTACTAGAAAGACGGTTGACAGCAAAGGACTCATTTAATTGATGTAATAACTGCACCCTGAACTGAGATTGTTATTCAGAGAAGCATACAATCTTCTAAGCATTAAATGAAGAAAGCAATTTTCAGGGATTCTATTAAATCCATAATTTCAAAATGACTACCATAATTTTATTTATTTGTATAAAACCAGAACTGGAGAGGCTACATCTTAATTGAACAATTCAGCAGGCTACATCTTAACTGAACAATTCAGCCTCAGAATAAGGCTATATTGCCTACCTTTTTACTTCTATAAACTATCATCTGAAACAGTTTTCATTGATCAGTTGTTGACCTCCCTTGTCTCATACATTTCTCTAACTTTGAAATCTAGAAGCAGATTTACTGAAATAGGCTTATGCCATCCCAGACAATTTAGAGCAATTGTATCACTGTGAAATGTTTTCCACTTAATTTTGCCATATTTATTCCCATTCCAAAAAAAGGTGACCCCTACAGAGCAGGGACAATATCCCTAATATCATACACAAGCAAAATCCTGCTGAAGATTACCCAAAACTAACTGGAATAGTACATTGACAGAGAACTATCAGAAATACAAGATGGGTTTAGAAGAGGTCATGGCACTGAAGACATTACTGCCAATATCAGATGGATCTCACTAAAAAGCAAAGAATACCAGAGGGATGTCTATCTGTTTAACTCTATCTGTAAAGGCATTTGACTGAGTGGATCACAACAAATTGTGGGTGCTTCTGAGAAGAATGGTAATCCCAGATTACCATTGTGCTCATGTGAAACCCATACTTAGACCAGGAAGTGGTCCTCAGAACAGAGCAAGGAAATACTGCATGGTTCCAAATCAGAAAAACGTGCATCAGGGACACGTCCTGTTTCCCTATCTTTTCAATCTATATGCAAAACAAAGTGATCATTCGGGAGGCTGGGCTTTATGAGGTTGGATGTGTCATCAGGATTGCAAGAAGATTCATCACTACCTACGTTATGCAGATGACACAACCTTGCTTGCTGAAACTGAAGAGGACATGAAGTGCTTGCTGTAGAAGTCAAGGTCTGTAGTTTCAACAGTCTCACTACTGGGCCAATTGGTAGCACCATAATAAATAGAGAAAAGACTAGGGTTGTTAACAATTACAGTTTGCTTGGCTCCACAATCAACACTCTTAGCACCAGCAGTCAGGAAAAGACAAACTGTACTGGGAAAAATCTGCTGTCACAGACCTCTCCAGAGAACTGAGGAGCAACAATGTCAGTCCAGAGACCAAGGTGCACCTGATCCAGGCCAAGGTCATTGCAATTACTTGCTATGCATCAAAGAGCTGGATAATAATTAATGATGCAGAAGAATAATCAATGTCTTTGAGTTGCGGTGCTGGAGAAGAGTCTTGAACACACCAAGGACTGCCAAGGTCTGTCTTGAGAGGGTGAAACCAAGTTTTTTTCTTGGAGGCTAGGATTCTGAAGCTCCACCTCACATATTTTTGGCACGCAGCCAGGAAGGATGAGTCCTTGAAGACATCATCCTAGGATGGATGGGACAGTGCAGGAGAGGAAGACACCAGATGAGATGCATTGACACAGTAACTGGGGTTACAAGAGTGTGTCGGATCAGGATAAAGCAGGGTTCAGAGCTGTTGTACATAGGGTTGCTATGAGTCACAGGTGACTTGACTGCACATAACAATAGCAATGACAATCAGTTTGGACACTACCTCTTACACACCTGAAGCTACTCCTCAACCAAAAGTCTGCCCCTGATCCTTTTCATTGCTGTCCTAGACTCACTGCTATTTACTAAGTGATAGTTGAACCAAGCCCTTGGCTCTTCTCCCGAATATTTCAAGTCAAGCCCTAGCCCTCATTTCAAAAGAAAAAATGAAGGGCATTCATTTTTAAAGTAAAAAAAGTTATCTTTGTTTTTTTTCTTCCACTAAAGAAAGACAATTGTCAAAAGACCTGTACAAAGAAAGCTACAGAGCATTTCTGCAACACACAATAAAAGACCTAAAGAAAAGCAAAAATGTGCCCTGTTCATGGATAGGAAGTCTCAATATCGTGAAAATGACAATCCTACCAAAAGTAATCTACATGTTCAATGCAATCCCAATCCAGCTATTAAATACATTTTTTCAAGGAGAATTAAAGGGAAATTATCAAGTTTATTTGGAGAGCCAAGAAACTTCAAATAAGCAAAACACTTTTGAGAAACAAAATTGAGGTGGGAGGCAAAGCACTCCCTGACCTCAAAACCTACTACACAGCAGTAGTAAACAAACAGCATGGTACAATGACAGGCACATAGACCAATGGAACAGAATTGAGTACCCAGAAATAGGCCCAACTCTCTATGGCAAACTGATATCTGACAAGGAAATAAAAGCTATCAAATTGGGAAATGACAACCTCTTCACCAATTGGTGCTGGTAAAACTGGACTGCTACCTACAGAAAACTGAAACAGGATCCACATCTCACACCATACACAAAAATCAACTCAGGGTGGATCAGAGACCTTGGAGTAAAGCCCAAACCTATAAATTTCATAAGAGACAAACTGTGATCAAGCTTAGAAGCACTAGTGCAAGGTTTAAAGAGACTGCCAAATATAGTCAGAAATGCACAGTCTGAAGAGGATAAAACTGATGAATGGGACCTTCTAAAGATTAAATCCATGTGTGCATCAGAAACTTTCCCCAACAGGGTGAAAAGAAAACCTACCAACTGGGAACAAACATTTGGTAATACCATCTCAGACAAGAGTCTTACAACAAAAGTTTACAGAATACTTCTAAGCCTCCAAAAGAAAAAGACTGATAACCCAATTACAAAATGGGCAAAAGACATGGAAAGAATTTTCAGAGGAAGATATTCTAATGGCAAACAGACACATGAAGAAATGCTCCAAATCACTGGCAATAAGATGCAAATCGAAAGCACAATGAGGTACCATCTCACTCCAGTAAAAGTGGCAAAGTTTAACAGGGCAGCAAATAATAGATATTGGAGAGGATGTGGTGAAAAGGGAACTCATACGTTGTTGGTGGGATTGTAAAATGGTGCAATTACTCTGGAAGGCAGTTTGGCACTTCCTCAAAAAGCTAAACACAGAAATTTCATATGACCCAGCTATTCCAGTACTTGGAATATACCCTGAGAAAATGAGAACTGAGGCACAAATGGAGATTTGCGAACCAATGTTCATAGAAGCATTATTCATCATCGCAAGAACATGGAAACAGCCAAAACATCCTGCCAAAAAGAAATGGACTGAGAAATTATGGTACATTCATATAATGGAAAACTACAAAGAACACAGGAGTAATGATTTTGTAAATTATTACCTAACTTGGGAGGGACTGGAGAGCCTTATGCTGAGTGAACTAACTCAGTCCCACAAGGACAAATACTGTATAAAACCATTATTGTAGAATGAGTATAAGGATCCAAAAGGGGTGGGAGAGGTTGGAAGCAGATGGATGAGGATGTGCAGGGGGAGAGGGGATTAATCATGGGGTTGTACAATTTGATGGTGAGGGCAAAGGAAATTGGAAGACAAAATCGATGTTTATAAATAAACTAGTATTAAAAAAATAAAAAAAGGACAATTGTGCCAGGTTGGGCCTATGTACTGTCTTACCTCTCTTAGAAAACAAAAGATCCTGTAGCCATCAAAATGTATACATTTTATCTTCATAGAATTAAACATATCTTCAGTAAAAACCAAAAGAAAAACCATTAAAAGGCAATCAGATTGCCACTGAGTTGATTCTGATTCATAGCAATCCCATAGGACAAAGAAGAATTGCCTCATAAGGTTTCTAAGGCTCTAATTACTACACCAGCAGCCTGCATATCTTTCTCCAACAGAGTGGCTGGTGGGTTAAAATTAAAACTGCAGATGTTTATTTAGCTTTATTTATGTACCTTTATTTAGGTAGCTGCTGAGTGCTTTAACCACCATACCACCAGGGATCCTTCTTAGCCTTATAATCATTACCATTCGGTGGAAACCAATACATAGCTGACCATTTTTATTGGGTCTCTGAGACTGCCTATCTCTTGAACTGCTGGTGCAGCCCCAGTGAAGTAGTTTATGGAATGATCTTCACCGCTGTCTTACGTATCACTTCTGTGAAGCTTTCTCTGACACATTTAAACAGTTAAGTTACCTCCCTAGGAAGCTCTGGTGGTTTAGTGGTAAACAGTTGCATTTTCAACCTGCAGGCATGAGGTTCCAATGCTGCTCTGTTGAAGGAAGATGCTGGCAGCTCAGCTATGAGTCAGTTTCATTTGCTAGTGCATTATAACAATAACAGTTAGCTTTTAAGTGCATTATACCCCTTTCATAACAGATACAGTAGATTAATATTATGTATCTGTGTGCCTATCTGCCTTCTCAGAGGAAATAATTCTTTTAGGTTTGCCTGCTCACCTATCCCTTGCTCCAACACACACAAAACACATTATGCAGTACTCATGTAAGGCTTTTGAATAAACAAATGATGATTTAGAGTTTATTACACATTCTCCCTTACATTTTTATACATACTTAATGAAAACTATCACAAAGTTATGCTGGTTTTTCAGTGACCTACCTTCACATAAATGCACACTTTGTCATAGTTGTAGAAGGACTGCAGGCCTTTCGTTCATAGGCAGTCAACAACAACAACAAACATAACTTACCACTTTTCACGCCTTACATTTATTCATATTTTCTACACTTTTCAAGACAAAATAGCATGGAGCACTATAACATGGCATTTAACACTTAGGATGAAACAATACCGTTATCTTTCCTTTAATATCTAACCTGTGTCACTGAGAATTTATTTCATTTGCTGAATTATTTTCCTTGCACTTAAAATTTGTTCATATTAATATTTACTTTTATTATGCTAGAGATGCATTTAACATCAGAACTAGACTAGTCATTAATTGATAGTAACTAAGATAAGAAAGAAAAGACAGTATATCCTCTATGCTCTCAAGCATACACCATTATGTTATCATATCAAAATGTTGATTTGCTTGTCAGTTTCTCTGGTACATGAAGAACTCCTAGAGAGCAGGGTAGCAGCTTGCAGAGTTCTACTCATGTAATTGGCCTTAATATATGTTAACTCAGTTGGACTGAATTGAATAGCTCATTTTGGCACTATTGTTGGTATGCTGTTGAGTCAGAATCAACCCAGCAGACCCTTCCTTTCTCCCACAGAACAGCTTGTAGATTTGAACCACGTTTCATTGGCTCGGCAGAGCAATTCCTTATTACTAAGCCAAAGAGTTCAGGTTTTAATATAACTTCCCTATAGTGCCCTCTAATAGCATGACAGTGCCATTCATGTCACTGTGCAGGCCTGGCTTTAGTTTCCTTGTTGGAAATGATTATTTTTTTCAGATATAAAACACAATGATAAACAGGCCTTATGGTTATTTAGTGCAAAGCAGTAAATATCTTGAAATTCTGGTTTACCATAAAGAATTCTAGGTATCCTAGTACTTCAAGTCTTGAGGCAAATGGGTAAATTACTAACGTCTGACATTTTCTTTCTCTTATTGTTGCACTTTCACCCCTAACTTGGATAATATCATATTGTTGTTGTTTTTGCAGGTTTCCCATTAAACAATAATTTACCTTAGTATTCTAATTATTTCTTGAAAAAACCAATTATGTCACAAAAATAATGTTGTTGTTGTTATGCGCTGTCGAGTCGTTTGCGACTCATAGCGACCCTATGTACAATAGCCCTAAACCCTGCTCCATCCTGTGCCAATCTCATTGCCTCTGACACACCCATCCTGATTACCCCAGTCACGGAATCAATCCAACTCATAGAGGGTCTTACCCTCCTGCGCTGTCCCTCCACTCTACCCAGCATGATGTCCCTCTCTAAAGACCTGTCTCCCTAACAACATGTCCAAAGTATGTCAGACAAAGCCCCAGAATCCTTGCCTCCAAGGAGCAGCCTGGTTTAACCCTCTCTAGGATGAATCTGTTTGTTTTCTTGGCAGTCCATGGTACAAAAATAATAGCTCATGTATATTTCAATCATGAATAATTTCAGAAGTAAAATATCCTATCTATAAAATTATTCTTATGACTCTTATAATTTATCATCTTATATAGCAACTAACAATAGCAACATAATTCTATATAGATGTGTCTCCTTCACAACACTTTAAAAATAGAAACTATTTCCAACATCAGTGATGTCCAATAGAATGCTTTGGGCATAATAGGTACTTGATAAATATTTGTTGAATACATTATCATTTTAAGATTATTATGAATGATAAGGAAGTCAAAACAATATGTGGGTGAATATTGTAATATGGTAAAGAAATTGGCTTGATTATGTCTCACTAGATAGATGTGTATTTTGAAACAGCCACTTAAGGTTGCCTTAATTTTTTATATCATCTGTTCTTTCATTAACATGTACAAAGAAATTGGCTTTCAGTGTTGAAAATATAGGAGCTGTCCATTCAATACAGAAGTTTAATCTTTTATCAGATGAGATTTATAAAATGATTTATAAAATCAAGCATGATTCTGACAATCTTTTCCAGAAATCATAAAAGCTTAGGAAAAGAAGATAAAGTGCTTTCTTAGTATGCAAGAAAAGCTACATAAATTAGAATAAGAATAATGTAACAAACTGAAGAATGTTGTTTTTCTCTATGCTAATTTCAATAATTTATGGTAAAGAAATTATGCCACTCACCAAAAACAGAATTCATTTAAGAACAAAGTTTGTATGTTAAAAAACTCCAAATAATTGAAGAGAGATGGTTAGTATTACCATTCTAAGTTGTTAAAGTAAAAAAAAAAAAGGAAAGAGAGGAAGAAGTTAATGGAACCCACAGGCTACTGATGTGGCAGTTTATCAAATGTAGTGGTAATGAAAGATAAATAATACAAGCAATTCGCACTTCATGAAAAGATAAAAGTGTCAGTGTGTAGGTACCAGTTTTACTGCAGGCCATAATCAGCAAGTAAACGAAAGTGCAATGTCTAAAAAGTTTATAGCCTTCTCTGAAGGCCTCGTCTTGTCAGGTATTGATTTAGGTATTCAGACGACTTCACCAGTATTAAACAAACTGAGTGTTTGGGAACTTGGAGGACATGTTCTATTTCTCCCAACAAAAGTTGCCTCGAGCTTAATGTTAAGTTGCTTCCATCACTTAAGTCTAAGGAATGGGAAGAATGAAATGCCATCTTACACAATTATTTTCTTCTTAAATAGAGGACAATCCAAAGTGAATGTTTCATACTCTCCTCCTTCGCCACAAACATGGACTCCATACTTCTCAGAAAGCTGAAGATGGGGGAGAAAAAAAAAACACACAAGGGACTTAGACACTATAAAAGGCCTAAATTTAACTTAAACTTTCTTGTACTGAAAAAAAGAAATATAATTAAAGAAGTCTTCAGTACAAAATTGACTGCAAGCTATGGGAAAATATTTTAATCAATCTGTTTAAAAAGTATGTTTAAAGCCATTTTTAAAATGCTACCAAAAGCAAACACAAAAGTGTTGTGCTTTTTTCCCCCGTCCCTGTCTCCCCCCACCTCCCGCCCCAGTTCCCTTTTTTCTTTGGAAAAAAAGTTCTTTCACTGTCATACAGTACCCCTCCCCCCACCCCTTACCACTTTACTATGCAACTCTTTTTCTAGACTCAAGTCATGCCATTAATACCTAAACATATGGTCCTTTTAAACAGTTCTCTCCCTTGTCTGTTTGAACGTTATGCACATTATTTATGCCCTTTTTTCTTTGTTT